CGAAGAGGCCTTCATGGCGTCGCTGTCCGCAGAATCAAACGCCGCCTGTACATATTGTTCGAAACCATCATCGAAGAAAATCTGAAGTGCAATGCTTTACTGGTTGGCATTGAGCACTGACTTTTAGCATGAGAACAAACAGGCAAGTTGATAGCAGAAACAGGGAATAATCTATGAGATAATGACAAATTTCTGAGGCGAGAACAAGCAGCAGCAATAACTGGATGGCTGAAAGTAAATGGCGATCCATTCGACAGCGACCAGCTTTGGCTGTGCGTTTCATAATCGAGGCTATTCCACTATAATTATTGCCATGTTTGTGATCCCACTCTAACTAACACAATTTCAGCACTACTACTGGAGCAGTATCCTATCCTTCCCTAGGGGGACGCGTCCCCGCCGCTGATCCTATCCTACGGCTGGGGAGACAGGGTTGCGTCATAGGACCCGCCATTGAACGCGTGATGTTGTAGCTACCCTTTACCTGTTGAGGCACTCTCTTCTCTAGGAGGTCGCGCTGTCTGTCTGTAGAAACGCCGAGTATGGTGGGTCCTATGACGCAACCCTGTCTACTCCACCTGTAGGATAGGAGCAGCAGCGAATAGAATACGGCCCTAGGGCCAGGTGCAGCAAGCCCTGGACGAGGGATGGGTTTCCAAAACATTGCGTCTTCACTCCGGTCGATGACGCAGTTCTCGTAATCAAAAATAGCGGATATGTCCAGAGATGCAGTTTTGGGGACCCATCTCCTGACCGGTCCCAAGAAGATGGGTGCAACTGTCAGTGTGGGTGATTCCAACGAAACGCGCAATTTGCACGTTAAGGAGGACATTTGAAGAAGCCCCTGCCCCATATAACTCAACAGGGCTACAGTACGACAAAATCCAGACAAGAAGCATAATTATCAGATGATCATTGCATGCGAGGAAAAGCGAAGAAGGAATCGCAATATGCAAAAGAGAAAACAAATGTTCTAAAAAATGACTGGATCATATCTCACCAAGAACTCCTTGTTATGGGCAGTGTTTGGAAGTGTGCCAATAGTCCCTGTACTCCATACTGGCTGGTTCATAAAGTACGAACTTGTAACTAAGGCAGCAACTCGCAAACCTAGAACAGTCAAAACTGCATGATTACTCCGTCATGGTTTCCCTGGTAATATACCACTAGTGAAACCGCGAAATGCGCCACAAATGACCCCTCTTGATGTTGCCTACAACCCTATCACGCCCAGACGTGGAGAAGTACAACATAATGCTGCTTACGAAAATTTTTGGTTACGAGCCCTTAATACTATCGCTCACACAGCTCGGCCCCCCTTCGAACAAAAGGCCTTTCACACGCGCTCACACACGGCCTGTCCTTGACGCGAATGGTTGAGGATTTCCGAAAGTTTCGGATCTCTATGCGCTCTAATCTTTGATCTGCTCTCAATACGTAGAACTTGGGGTCACTTTTCGTACTCCAAATATCATAACAACGAATAAATATGGAAAGGTTCCAGAACCTAGCATCCGCGTAAACAAAACAGGCGCATATTGAAAGCCCACACGCTCAGAGCTTATTACTAATCAAACAGAAACGCCCCTATATAATTGGTCCTTTTTATGTCCGGGTCATACATGCAGCTCACCTGGTACAGCTATGTCGCCAGTTTCCTACTTCCTTCGATAGTGCATTCGTCCCTGAACAAATTTCACTTGTAAATGTCATGGCCTTTGGAAAAAAACAAAACCCCCCCTGAAAAAGTATCTTTTGTAGATCTCCACAACATACTCCAATGAGAACCTTCAAAAAACCAACCCATATGAAAGATCCCCCAAATAGGTGGATATAATGCTGGCATTGACTGAGCCTTGCTGCTACAGATCGCGGGTACAATCACTGTGCTTTGTCTGCCCAAAAAAGTCGCCGAAGGGGAAGAGCGAGAAGAGGGGAAAAATGAGGGAGGAAGGACGCCATGTATTATGAACATCTGCTAAATCACAGATGCCGGCCCCTTCCGAAAATTTCACTGAAACTTCTCGAATTCTACTTTCCCAAGACCTTCCCCAAGATAGAACGCTCACTTACAAACTTCCTATTTAAAAAACAATAAACGACCTGCTAGGCATGAACTATTAGGTCTCTCGTCAATGTAACCGACGAAAGTTAAATCTCTTTCTTTCCGTCACTTTTTCGAAGACTCTCGCCACTTTTGCCTATCGTTCATCCAGTCGCCAAGCAACGAGAGCGCTCACAGAACCCAAAATAACGAGAATAAATGAAAGTAGCATACCCTACACATAATCTGTCCTACAACCATGACTGGTACTTCGTCCGTCTTGGCCAAACAAAAGTCATCTTCTTTCAGTACTAACCTAAACGATGGAAGTAGAAGTCAAATAAGAACACACCAATGAGGACACTTGATTTGAACTTGTACAGATAAATGCATATGATTGCTCTAGTTGAAATCAATTTGAATTAAGCTGAAAGATTCCCGAGACTGAGAAGAGTTAATCAGTCACCACTGCACGAACTAACCTGCTCCCGCTAGGCCCTTCTGCAGTGGAGCTGGCCATTCACTCGTTTTCTCACTGCTTTTATCCGAGCATCGCACACATCACCTATTTCACAATCCAATCCCCCCTTGAAAACATGAAGTAATTCCACTGCAAGATTAAAAAAAAAGCTCATGCAATCGGGTCTCTCGCTAAATGTATCATTAAGGATAAAAGGATAAAGCATTTGCCGTTGATCAATCCCTTTTTGGGATGCGGCACGCATTCTACTTCCATTTGTACATTCGTAGTGGCGTTTGAATGCGATGTGGCCTATACAATGACTTGCGGGGGCCAGCCGATGTACAAGTCAGTGTTTTTATCCTCCCAGACAAGTCTGGTACCAATTAACCGACCCCGGAGGGATGGAAGGCTTGGTTGGCCCGGGCGACTCACGACCCAGGATTTGATCCCGGACCGCTCGCGTGGTGAGCGCGCCACTTGTCACTACACCACTTCCGCCCACCACTACACCCGGTAATCAACTTTATGTGAATAACTAATACGTCTGTTAATGATGAATTAGCCAGAACTTAGACAAATACCCTGAATGAAGTTCCGCACATATTAGAGCCCGCCCAAATCGGTCGCCCGAGCGATTATAAGCACTCATAAACAATCCTTTATCACGGACTCTTCCGGCCAAGATTAGCCATTATGGTGATTACCAAACAAGTCAGATATTCGTGACGTTCTGCAGTTATTCCGATGAAACAGGGCCAAGCTACGGGCTTGCGATGGCATGATGGCAACTGCAGTCCCCGAAGTGACGGAGCTTGGCTCTATTGGATCTGTCTACGATCTCGGCTCTTTGGTTCGCGGACTATCCCCCACCCAGTTAAGGCACTGCTGGCGCGTATTCTGTCTGTCTGCCATTACTCCAGATAATCAGAGCTCCTTGGGTCATTGCAACAAGTTCGCAAGAGCGAAAACCCTACCTCTTATGGTCAGATGCCTCCAAAGGAAAGCTTCCACTATTGTTCTTGTCACCCAACCGAGACGGAAAACAAAGAATTGAAAACTATCTGAAGGAAGCAGCTCACCTCTGCCAACTCCTCTTCTGTCAGCGATGGTCTTTCGCGTAAGCTTGGTGGCACAAGTTTGTTGATCGCTTCTCGACGTTCATTCACAACTTCTTCATGCTTTTCAGCCTAAAGTTAGAAGTTTAATTACCCCAGAATCGCGAACAAATTGATTGCTACTCTGAACTTCAACGGCAGAGAAAATGCAGAAAAAGGCCACATTCAAACCCCGTTATATTGCCACCAAAAAACTGGTAAGCACTGGACGGACTGCAATACAGCACTTACCAAAGCAGTGGCACCCATGGCAGAGATGAGCTCTTGCATTTCAGCATGAACCTTGTCCGCGGTTGCCATCAAAGCCTTGAGTTGATTTTCCATTACAGCGCATTGCCTGAACCGAAAATCATCCATGAAGGCTTTTTTGAACTATAACAATAAACAGTCAGCATTCTTAGCCTGAACCTCACCTCATATGATCACTCGGTTGGAAACCGGTTGACGATGGATCCATGACAAAGGCCTTTGTAGCGTCCCATTGTCGCTTTGCTTCTTCTCGTGTTAGCTTGTCAAACTCGTTTTGTTCCTCTTCAGTCCAAGTCTTATTTGAGTACTGGATTGCACTCCAGTCACACGAATACGGCCAACCGCTCACCTGAAATATATTCACTACCCATCTACGGAAATAACTTGAGTTAAGGAGTTCTTCCACTTAGGTACAAGAACTACCAATTCACAGTAATCATATTTCGAAAAAGTACAGTATCAATCAGGATATCAAATACACCTATTGATCTCGAAATGCATTCAACAAGGAAGCCTTTTCATGACGTCATGGAAAAACTACTGCAAATTTTAGTGCCTAGCAAGGTCAACCGTACGTTCACAAGCACAGCGGGGAGTCGCATTTGCAATTTTGGGAGGGGGTCGTATTAGGAGTCAGCGAAAGTGAAAAGGTGAGAAAAGAGGGTCGCATTTGTGGAAGTTCAATGGTAGTGATCGCGCTAGAGGAGGGTCGTGTTTGACGAGTTTTTTCGATGAATTTAGTGAAAACTCATGGAAGCGCTGGAGTAGACATTATATTCAACCCTTTCGGCATCGACAAATTTACCCGATGCAGATAAATACAGAATATCATGCCGTCAGCCACAAATACTTCCACGCAGAAAGAGAATGGGAATAAAATGCGCCAAACAGTTACATGATGGCACCGTTTCGGGAACAAAGAATTTGCAACGTTACTGAAATGTTCAACTAACAGATCGCAAGTTGGAAGTTTGAAATTGTAACAGGCATCTGTGAGGAAAATACTATTGAGAACAATCGACAAGACAGCGTATCGATAGAAGATGCTGAAACGATAAAGCGCTGTGAGATCAATCAGATCCTCACTTTGCCAACAAACAATTTTTGACGCACAAAGAGAAAATAAAGACATGAAAAGACCACAGAGACGGATATTTTCTCGAAGATAGAATGCAGCAATCAAAAGGAGTGCAAAAGGATTATTGAGACCGCCCGTCCACGCGAGCGAACGCGACACGCGATTGGGAACGACACCGAATCGCTCCATCGCTTGCCAATCGCTCTCGGTCGAGCGATTGGCACGCGATTGCGCAATCGCTTGCAAAGTGCACAAGCGACGGGCGATTGGCCCCGCCCCCAGTCGATGCAGTCGGCTGCGGTATCGATCGAGCAGAGCCATCGGCCGTCGCGAATCAGCTCCATCGCATCTGCTGAAGATGCTGCGAGCGATCGACCGATCGACTCCATCGCTTGCTCCTTCGCCGAGTGTTGACGGAACGGTCTTGAACGATTTCTTTCAAACCCTTACCCCAACCTTTCTAATAGCGAGAGTGAATAGAAGCGCGATTGATCCACATGAGGCAAACGAACTTGGAACGCCAAATGAAATTTAGACTTTTGGACCAGTGAGACCAATGCTTTTGTGCATTTGACGGTCGACAGTATGTGTACAGTGTGCTCAATGAAGATCAGAGAGAATCGTGAGGTACTTGAGTCCTGGACTAGATGAGGAAAAGCTCTACTGGACAAATGTTCACTTACCTCACAGTAAGCCATAGTGAGGGCCAAACAGCAATCTATCGGACTGCAGTAGGTTTCCTGAAAATGTATTGTCAAATTACCATTGAGTCAGGTAAACAACCACAGATATACTAAGTAAGACTTGAAAGAATGTTTTAAATTTTATCAGTAATACCAATCAATTAGAGAGATTCGGCGTTTTCTGACCAGTTTCGTACACCGCTCGCCCAAGAAAATTTTCATTCACCACGGTTGATAGGAACCCTTATCGAGTTGCAATGCATCGCAGAGAATTTCGAATTTGACATTCCGACTATTACTCTCTAAAAAGATTGCAAGCAGTTACGCTTTGGAACTCATAATAATCATGACTGATAGCAAAGAAGAAAAAATGCGCTCACAGCTGATTGATCCACTTGGTGGCTTCATTCATTCTACTTCTACTCGAATCACAAAAGCATTTGAATGCGAGATAGCTTACACTGGAGTTAATTGCGGGAGCCAACCACTATCAACCACTGTACAATTTACTGTATTTTTTTCACCAGGAAAGTCCAGGAACAAAAAACCGACCCCGAAAGAAGAGAAGGCCGGTTGGACTCATCGAAATTCTACCCGAGATTTGACCCCAGGCCGTGCGCGTGGAAAGCCGCGCCACTTGTCACTACACCAATCCGACTAATTGCAGTACTTGTAAAAGGCAGATAATTGGAAAACAATTCGATCATCGAACACCTCCTGCCTGACCCAGTTTCTTTAAACAAGCTGAACCCACCCCTACCCCCTCCCACACACACAGCCGTGGGTCCTATACAAAGGACACGGTTGCGCAAAACATAACAGAAGTCAGCTGGTTCAGGCGGCTTTTGAAATCATGAAATTTGACGCTGAATGCACTTACCGTCCATGATCGCACACAGTATTACAAGTATCAGCTGTTCTCGAGTCATGTCAAACTCGCTTTCGAAAAAGATGTCGCCCTTCTCTTCAAAACGATCAGCAATGTCCTTCATCTGATGAGGATCGAAACATGGCTTATCCCGGCGCTAAAATGACGGGTAAACTACATCTGCTTCTACAAATTAAACACTGAATTCCACTAAAACTGACTCTCTGTAGATAGTCCTTCGGAATGACAACCTCGTAATTCGTAAGATTTTCCGCGTCCAAGTAGGTGAACCAGCTGAAGCACAAACCACTGACAAACATTACAGCTACAGTTCAGCTCTATTCAGGAAGCACTCACTCCAGCAACTCCTCGCATCTGCCTTTGATAACATTAATCTCGTCCTCAGTTAACACATCCCACTGAGCAGATGGATCGTGCATGGAGATGATCATATTTTCAGCGGCAAGCGACCCCAGTTCCAACTAAAAAGCGATTTTCTAATAAAGTGCGGGAACAAGTGCAGTCGCTATTACAGCTGAGAAATCAAACAACAAATAAATCGGGAACTGAGTTATTGTTACACAAAAGGTGTCAATGAGGTAAAAATCCTTGGGGAACCTTTCTTTCCAAAAACCACGACCTTGAATTTTTTGATTTGAAACGGAGACTAAACTACTCCTTGAATCTCACCCCTTCAAACAGAAATTTTAAAAAAGCGCAAATAATCAAGAGTTTAAAAAACCTTCTACTCAGATTAGAAAGAATGACTTTCGAGTACAAGTAGTTCAATGATATCAAATAATTAATTTCATTAAACTCCATGCTGGTTCTT